AGTAGAGGGGTTTATTTGGGTGGGGGGAGGGGGGTAATATCTACATTTAATGATGGGTGTTTGGTAGGTGTTCGAGTGTAGTCTGCCCCTTCTTTCCAATCAAACATCCATCGTCTATAATCTCTCCTTCTTTCATTTCTTTCTATGTTACTGTCTCGTGACACCTCTATTCTTCGTCACAACACGACCAATTTGTGTTGCAAGAGTCGTAAAACTCGTACTACAATCAAAGATAGAAGATACAAGACAAATCTGCATTGGACTGACATTGATTGAACAAACGTTAACATAAATTTCTCGCCGACTCAGGTAACATAACGAGATAATAATCACTTCATATTAATTTGTTCAACATTACTCCATTTTTGAAGAAAACGTGTTTTTAACCGAGTTTTGAGGGCAATTATTAGCTGCCTTTTTTTCTATCTGATCTGGGTTGAAATTCGGCACTTCCTGTCTGGTCCTGCGCATTCAGCATCACTGGACGCTAAAGTTGTAATGCGGATAACTTTTGAACGACAGATGTACGCCATTGGCCGATATTTATAGTAACAGCTATTTTGTTTGACGTCATTGAGCTAAAAAAAATAAATCTGTGGCCGAACCGAGGCTCGAACCTGGACTTTCTGCTTTGGAGACAAGCGCACTAACCACTCCGCCACCAGGCATTGCGGTCGTGTTGCCACCGTGAACGACAACAAAGTGGGAATCCCCCAATGACGTCAAACAAGATAGCTGTTACTATAAATATCGGCCAATGGCGTACATCTGTCGTTCTAAAGTTATCCACATGTCTAAAGTTGTCACGCATGTCTTTTGAGCTGTTTAATTAGACTACTATTTTTTTTTACCCTGCCATTTTCTATTATCTTGCGCTTTTGTGTTTAGTAATAACAACAAACTGAGCTGCATTTTGGGTTTTAAAATTAGCTGTTAGTCTTAAAGCAAACACATCGGAAATGTTTTACATATAAATAGATACATTAATAAATAAGTAAATACACATGTTTCTTCACTCTTATAATGTTATTTTGGTAAGCTACACATCTAAGTGTTGCCATACCCCCAACTGGAGATGGCTACCACAACTGGTTAGTAGTTAATTGTTTAGATCATCCTAGTCCTACATTCCTCAGCTCTTCGAGTCACGAGGTGGGCACCCTCTGTCCAGCTCCCTTGTGGAGTCACCTTTACAGTGTATTAATTAGACTACTTAGTTAGGACAACGTCTATGGTGTAGCGGTTAGGTCCTTCACTGTCTCACACAGCTAGAGACTCGAGTTCAATTCCAGAGTGGGAAGAATTTAAAAAAAAAAGGTAGATGATCTCGGTCTTTCTGCTGGGATGTTGTATTCCTCTGGCATCCAGAGGCAAAGCCCGCCTTTTGAATGACCTAAATTATGTCGATGGGGGCGCAAAAGACTTAAGCCCACATGTTACTACGCGGTGGAATGAGACACTCGTCAAGTTTTGGGCATGTTGAGCTATTGGTATCATTTACAAGATTGTTCCCTTGCTTTCAATGAAGAAAACACCTATCTTAAATAGAAGTCGAGATATTTGCCATTGAAGGCGGTGGGCTTGCCTGGTTCCAGTGGGAAAAAAAGCGAGAAAATGGCCATAAAGTATGGCGACCTCCATAGTTTGAGCATCCTTGGACATGGAAAATTGACATTTGTTGTGCCTTTAAGCAACTTTTCCCAGTAAAATTCAGACAGAGAAATGTTTTTAAATCACTAAAAACAGGTGGTGAGCCCCCAAAGAAATCGACAAACAAACAAAAATTCGATAAATATTGCTTTACGTGCAAAAAAAATATTTATAAATGCTGTTTTCTTTGATTTCATTATTTTGACGAGCGCCTGATTTCACCACGATGCCTCACATACATTTAAAACAAAGAAAATAAAACTATTTGGTTAGTTATAAGTAGTTATAAGTTTCCGGGAACGATCAACAACCAGCCATAGCAAGCTGATTAACTTTACTGTTCTAGGTGGTTTAAAAAATATTTAAAAAATCAGGAGAGAGAAGAAACTATTTCAGTCTTTCAATCGCCCCCCTCCCCTAAAAAAAACAACCCCCCAAAAAACAAAACATGGGTACTTAATTTATGTATTTTTTCTGTTTTGTTAAAATCTGTTCTAATCCGTATAAAAAAAGATCAAGAGAGAGAAGAAATTGTTTTGATCTGTAAAAAAAAACCAAAAAAAAAAACCCCCACTGTGCATACATTATGCATAATTTTTCCTCTTTCTTTTCAACATATTATAGAAGCTGAATTTCAGCAAACTGCTTCTCGGGCACACGTGTAACCGATACTCAATAACCCCCCGCCCCCCAAAAAAAACCAAAACACCAACCCTCCCC